AGCCAGAAGGAGAAAATAATAGGTAAGGAAGTCTGTAGAAAGGACGGGTCACGGTGGGATTTAATTACTTTAATATTGATTAGGTAACTGGTTAAATAAGTATTTTGGAGGGAGTATGTGTTTCAAAACAGGAAAGATATATTAGTAATCAATATAGTGTGGAAAAAGTAGAACTTATGGCTTGATTCTTCATGGATGTTAAGGGTCTGTGATACACATCCAGTGCAGTGAGATGTGAAAACGCAGAATGCCTTTGAAATCCATGTGTGTATGTGACACTTGAAAAACAGCCCCAGGGAAGTTCCAGTTTGCAGTTTATAAAACAAGGAGGGGAACATAAGTACACTTGTAGATAAAGACAGAGAACAGAAAAAAAAAAAAAGTAAATGTTTTTGCAGTACAATCGCATCATTGGTTTGTATTGTCCATTTATTGGAGACAGTAGTACTTATTACTGAATGTGTGTATTACTGTATACTGTATGTATACATAAAACACAGAGTATGACCTGTATTTAGCTTGGACAACTTCTGCTCCCTTTTCAAACCCAAACAAGAACTTTATGCCTAATAAGTTCTTTAATTATTCCAAAGCTACTCACTGGCCTAACGAAAGAATTCTGCTTTTACTCTAGATTATTTAATATGTTTATCTGTTTACAAGTTTTTATGTATATATAATTATATTTATTTCTTACTATTTTTTTCTGGATTCACTGTCCTAATTTTCCTAAGTGATATTTCTTGATACAAGCCACTTGCTGGATTCTCCAGAAGCTTCCAATAGGAATAGTTAGTGATAATCCCTCTTCCTCACATCACAAAGTAGATGTTACTATCAGGTGGTTTTGTTGTCCCACTTGGAACCTATTTCCAGCTTCTGACACTGAGGTGGAAGGGGTTCCCTAAATCCTTCATTACAAGTTTCCTAAAGCAGCCATTTGTTTCAGTACCTTTAATTACTTACAAGTACCTTTAGAAGTGTGTCATGTAATAGGAATTTTTATTTTAAATATATGATACTTTAGAAACTATTAAGACACTATTAATAACAGAGCAACTTGCAGTTCGATTTCTTTCAATGAGATTAAATGTGAATTGTGTAAAATAAAGTTTTAAAAGGCAGTGAAATTAATCAATTCCTACATTTTAATAGTCATTAGAGAGTATTATTTAATATATTTTTAAGAGAATAGTGTGAAATCTTATGTGCTACTTAGGAGATTATAGGAAGCAGCATAAAGATCTGGATTGGAAAGAGTTATCACTGGTGATTTGGGGGGGGATGAAAGTTTACTTTTTAAGTGCTGATAGCTGGTACTCAGTGATGGATATGAAGATGGGAACAAATTATTTCTTGAATATAGTAACTGTCTTGTCATCAGAATGAATTTTTCTTCTGTGGTACCCCTCGAGGCTTATAATTGTCTGTCACCTTGAGCTTCAAGTTATGGTTTTTTGTCTGCCTTTAAACAGAGGTTCTTAAGCTTGACCCAAATCAAGCTGAGTAGGTCTCCCTTTTAGATTTGAATCTCTTCTATTTTGAGTTGGTGTCATGATACACAGGTTATACAGACAACTGACATTGCTTTTTAACCAGAAAACATCAAGGATGAAAACTTTGCTAAAGCCACCACAACTCTCTGACCTGTTTTTTTCTTAAGTGGAATGAACTCATTCTTGTCCTAATCCAATCTTCAGTGTCACTAGATCTATCCACACCCTGGCGAACTTCTAAGTGGCACCATACCTTGTATCCAGCAGGACGCTACTTCGCTTACAACTTTTTGCAGGCGTTCTGGAAACATTTTCCCTTGTTTCTGCAATGTAGCCATCCCTCACACAAGTGAAGTTGCTGTTAAAAGTATAAAGTTTGAGAATAATCTTTCTATCGGTTTACTTTGTTCAAGGTTAGCACAGTTAAATGCTAGTTGCAACAAAGTGCATCAACACAACCTTTCTCCAGCTCTCTTTAATTGGCTTTCAGCATTTTACATTTAAAATAGCAACTCAAACTGGTATCCGCTGAGCTTGGTTTATATGGTTATTTTGAAATTGAACAACAGGCATGGGAGTGTGGGTTTGGGAACACCCAAACAACAGAATTGTTCATTTTTTTGCTGAGTTCAGAACAATACCTTGGACAAGTTCTTGGCAGTATCAGTGGGTTTTTCCCTCTTATGTGTGAAAGATGGTGAAATATCCAACACGAGTAGTTAGGGAAGTCCAATTCTTTTAGAGCTGTGGGACAGAAGCTAGTTTTGGACAGCCTCCAACAGACCACTCTCGGGAGTCACAGAAGTAAGTCTTGAAACTGAGAGTTATGGTAATCAGCCACAGTCTATCAAGTAATACTTGAAGAGTTGCTCAAGAAAATCCTTCATACAAAATGGTCTTTTGGTTAGTAACTGAAAGGATAATTTCTCTGTGTTTAATTAGGTCAAATACAGGTATTACTTAGGAATAATGCTAAGTATTCATTTATTTTCTTTTCTAATTTTAATTATAGCATGTGCAGAAGCTTAAAATAAAAAGGTTCACCTGATGAATGCTTTGTTTTCCCTTTCTCTGCTTTCAGTTCATAAGAACAGAGAAAATCAGTAGACACTTCTAATGACTTGGGTCAGGTTCTCATCTTCAGCAAAACCTCCTATCTCCAGTGAAATCAATAGACTTATGTGAGTTTACCCTGAGAATCCTGTATTAAAACGTATCCTCAAAATCAGATTTTTTTCCTTTAAAATAAAAAATTATGGTGGAGGATATAGTTCTTGTCTTCTGAATTTTTGTTCATACAGGATTTTAGGGCTTTTTGTGTTTCTTCCTTTGGAACAAAGCCATATTGCAAAATCCTTTCTGAAACTGAACAGCTTTTGGGTTTAGAGTTTTGAGTCTTATCACATACTCACATATTAGAGTAAGTCTAGTAAATTTAACTTTGACTCTTGTTTTGGATCAAAAGCAAGCTTCACCTCTTAGTGAGGAACACATTGGCAGGCATGCATTATGAACCAGAGGTGCTCTATGATGTTGCTTGTTATTTTTGATGTGCCATGGCTCTGGTCTCCTATTTGGCCCTCATCTCCCTCTCGCTTCTCACAACCTGTGCTGGATACTCTGGGGGAGAACAACAATTCATGGAGTCCTGGCTTCCTCCTGGTGTGGGAGCAGAACTACAAAGTGCCCTCTAGGCTCTGCCACCATTGTGTCTGAGTTTACCAGATGAGAAGTTGCAGCAGCCTAAATATTAGGTTGAAGCCATTAGTAAAATTAGCCTGATGAGGCTAGGGGTACAGCAGGTGATTTTATCTCCCTGCAGTGTTCTGGAAGAACTGAGTCAAATGTCCAGGGCCTAATTCTCATTTGTCCAAAGGCCATATTGCCTAATTGTAAAGGGATGATGATATTTTTTCAGATAAAAGATTATTTTACAGTTTTTTGCATGTCCTGAGAAATTATCTCCAATTCTTTTACCTTAATTTTTCTTTGGCTCTTTACTCTCAGTAATAATGTCTTCCTCAAAACTCAGGCGTGTCTGCTGTTTATGTGGGGTCATAGTCGGGAAATGGCATCGTCCAGTCACTCTGCTCTCTCCTTTGAAAGAACTTTCCTTCTTAAAATAAGAATTCAGAAGACCCGTAACACAAAAACAGTTCTTCAAGGTTATTTTCCTTTGGTGTTTTAATGATCGTGCCATCTTCCGTTGCTTTTCTTAGTTCAATACTTTGCTGGAATGTTTGTTGATCTTACTGACAGTTTCAGTGTAACACATCGTCAAACTTGTTCCGATAAGATTTTGCTTTAAGTTTCTCCAAGTGCTATCTACTAGATCTCTCTTGCCTCTTCACTTGTGTTATCTTTCCTTTATTAATGGATTTTTGCAAAGTTTGGGGGAAGTTCATGTTTGCTGCTGCTTGTTTCTTTTCCACATACTTCCATGTATCTTTCTTTATCTTGGTTTCTCTGACTAGAAGGCACCTCTATATTTGTTAAGGCATTTGTTGATTCTGTCACTAAGACTGGACTTTGACATTTTAATGTTACTTTCTTGTAGTGAATCTTTGTCTAATAGCAGCTGAACAGTCTCTTTTATTGTCTTTTAAAGTTTGTGTTGTTGGGGGTTTTTTTGTTTG